GATGAAGGGCACCATCTGGATAAAGGCAGCTGGCAGCTTTCCATAGCCACAGAATTGGGGCCGGCAGGAGGCCTTGCAGGTGTCTGAGCCCAGCATTGCCCTGTTTTTGGGCTGAGGCAGGATCAGACACTCATTATCTGTCTGTGAGGAACGCCTGGGTACACAGTACTGCTGTCCCTTGGGAACTGTGCCAAACAAGTACCTCTGGTTGCCATCTTCTTTACAAGAAAACTTAAAACTTGTAAGCTGCTGTGATATCTCCAGGCTGTCCCTTTGCCAGACCATACCAATCCCTTTCATCTGAGTTTYCTCTGCAAACCCCATCTTCCAGCTCTTCAGTCTTCCTTGGAATTTTTCCTTGGGACTTTTTATGGTACTTTTACATGTTCCATCAGAATTGCTGCCCCAAGCTGCCCACAGCAGTCCAGCTAAAGCCTTATAGAACTAAATACAGCAGGAGAGTTTCTTCTTGCACCTCATATGACATTCACATCAGTATCTCTTGGAGAGACATATGCTTTTGTTGCAACCTCCCGCTATAAAATKGTTCATCAGTCTATGATTCACTGTTGTCCTGATTCCTGTGTACAACACTGCTGTTTYGTGGGCTGTTCCCTAAGTTGTGCATGTTCATGAGGTGTTTCCTTTCTGTATGTTGTGGCTGCTGTCTGCACAAAGCCAAGGTACCTGTGGGGATGCTGGAAGAATCCCCATGGAAGGAGAGCCTGCCCTCCACACTTCTCTGGTGTCCCGTGAGTTCTGTGAGCGCATTTCTGGGAATGTGGTGTGTTGCCATGGAGATGACACTTGACATCCACATTTATAACGACTTAAAACAATTCACTTCACAATTAAAACAAGATCTATCCTGCAATAACCCCCAGGAAAAACAGTTTCCTACTTAATGCAGGCATGGGGGCAGGAAGTGGATTTCATTGTCAGCTCTGCTGGGGTGGCTCCAGCTTGCTCTGTGCTGCCCTGTCCAGCTCCGGTTTGTTCACAGTGCCCCATTCTGCCTCTGCTTCCTGCCCCAAAATCCAGAACAAGCTTGTGTAAAGTTTAGGCTGCATTTTGCCGCGGTCCTGTCATCCAGTGCAGTTGTTGTTTATCAGTAGTTTACCACCAATCCAGTTTCAAGTAAAGCTCTCTGCAGCCACTGACTCAGTAGCAGTACTTCACTACCCACCACCACCTTTCCTTCTCCACCTATAAACCTTTGCCACAAGTTCAAGTTTGAAGAAAGCAGATGTCCCAGATTTATGCTGCTTTCCTCGCTTGCTGGCTGAGACCAACTCTCGGGTAGGTCATCCAGCAACCTGTGCACTCACAGCAACATTACTGAAYCAGACTTTCTGTGTTCAACTGATGCTACTCAGGCATCATCCCTGCAGACCAGGGCAGTACTGGCTGGGAGTACACCACAGCCTGGGCCACGGTCCTGTTGCTCTGTGGCAGGGAGCAAGATGATGAGGTGTTTGCTTTGGAGGGGCTCGCATGGCACAGGCAGTATCTGAGCACCTTGAAYTTGTGTGCCAAACAATTTGACTGTTGTGTGTCATACAGGCTTTGTTCTCATCCCTTCCCTAAGGGGAGAAGCAAGTGCAACAAGTTCTTGTTTTTACTGTTCCCTCTCCCATTTGAAACAATGTGCAGTGTTCTCTGTGCCTCCRTGCAGAGAAAGACAGCACAAAGCAGGGTGTCCTTCTTCCTTGTGGAGAGTGAAGATGTTTGGGGGGTGTTTAAACGTGGAGGAGCTCATTACATGGCACAGACAAAAGGCAAAGAGGGCTGCTGGGCACAGCTTTGTGTTGGAGGGGCATAGCCCTTCCCACACGCTTCCTCTGTTGAGGTCCTTGCAAATAATTACAAAACAAAAGAAAAGAATGAGAATAACCCAGCAATTTTGCTCTCAGATTCTCATGATAGCAGAGCTGATGTGTAGCAAGGCGGTGCCACAGCTTTTGTGGTGTGGTGAAAGATCCCCAAGCTCCCCCACCATGAGYGTGTGCTGAGCAGGTTTGAGGCTGCCCATCATTCCCTCTGTGCTTGGCCATGGCTGGTCACAGCTTCCGACCCTGCTGCTTCCTCATTTTCTTATTTCAGCTCTCACTATATCTGTGCAGCTGCTTGGGCTAAATGTTCAGTTCTCTGCTGAATTCTATCTTAAAATATCAAATGTTTTTTATTTTACTGTGTGTCATGGGCAGTTGGTCCTTTCTCTCCTGACTGGACTTGGAGAAGATGGGCTGTCAGAGGAGTTGGCACTGCTGGGATGGAGGCTGCTTCTCTTTGGGAATGAGCATCTGGATTCAGATGCATGCACAGCCTAGTTCCTCAACGTGGTGACAAATTCCAGTTATCCTTGAGGGAGGAGAAGGGAGGGCTTCATCAAGGAAGGTGGCTGGGGGCAGTGGGCCAAGCTAACAGAGTAGAAAGGGTGTGTAGCAGCAGAGTCTCTCTGCTCATGTGTGTACCCAGCCAGGCTGCACGAGAGCTAGGCCTTATGGCCATGCAGGGGAATTTGGACTGGACCACAGGCTTCAGACCACTGGTGAAATGCAGTGAGTTAGAGGAAGGAGGCCTATTGCAAAATACTCCTTCTTGTGCTTACCACAGAGACTGGTGTGGTTTCAGAGACTGAACAATCCTGTGCAGCAAAAAGTGCTAATCAGCCTTTCCTCCACTTCTATCAAGGCTCTGTTTGGCCTTGAAAGGGCTGTTCAGGGCAATCCGTTTTCCTGCAGGTGCCCTGGGAGAGCAGGAACTGAGGGGCAGAACAAGGCTGAGAAGGTAGTGTTTGGGCATTGAGGGTGGCAGGGATGCTGTGCAGGAGTGGGATAGGAGGCTTCAGGCACAGTCAGGGGAGATCTGGGGAAGAAGGCAGGTAGTGAAGAGACAAAGGAAAGTGAAGGAGGAGTTTGAAGATGGCTTTGGAAAAAGGAGGAGCAGAGTAGGCTGCAGTAATTCAAGAGGTGAGAGAGAGCACTCTCACCTCTASAAACATTAGAGACTGGGAGGACCCAGACACCATATGCATTAATTGCTGTAAATGAAAAGTCATTGCAAACATGCTGAGTCTGCTGCTCTAGCAGAGCAGGATTTGGCCTATGCTGGGTAGAATCATGAGAAGTTTTAACTAGTGATTTGTTTCAACACCTCTGGACCCACAAAAATATAATCCAATGTTTGCCCAAACATCACCTTCATCACCTGAATACAATGCTTTCCAGTGTATGAGAATAATAAATCTTGTTAAATGCAGGAGCATTTATGTGGGAGACAGAAAAAGAGGCTGTACAGGCAGAGCACTCAGAAACATCACCCACGTTTGTTGTGAAAATGTGTTTTGCTGAGCTTTCAAAGACAGGCAGCTGTAGCTAAAAATGAAAGGTATTTTGGATGGCAGGCCTGAGGGCACTGACAACTTCAAATGCACTTCACTATTGAAAACATTGTCCTAATTTCTGACCCGAGATTTTAGACCCACTGAAGACATTTTTTCTGTGCTTGCCGTGGTTTTTGCTCACATCTCACCTGTTTAATTTCTTGGATTTGATACATTTGCCTTTCAAACAAAAAAAAAATTCACAGAAAATAAGTCACTGAGCAAAGACAAATGGCAACTAAATAAGCTTGTTCAAACAACTATTGAAACTTTGTAGTGTTACTTTTTACAGGTAATAATTGCAAAATAAATTTAAATACCCTGCCCATTATTCAGAGGCAGAATGTCTGTGTAACAAGTTATGCCAAATCGGAGGCACAGTTTCAATTTCTTACAGCTAACCATGTTTCCTATGCAAAATCTAGYTTTATGCATGCAAAACAGTGCCAGACAAGCCTGCCATTGGGGTGATCAGGTCTTCCTTCAGATTGCCCAATTGTGAACAGTTCCCAGTATTGCTCTTTTAAGTCAAGAACAGCCTTGTGATGATGGAAAACAATTGTTCTCCACCATTCTGCCCCCACTTTCTGATCTCTTATGCAAATGTAGACATGCCCTTTTTGGGTTGGTTTCTGGGGAAAARCCTTTAATCCAGAAGGAGAACCCGGCCAGGAAGAAGGTGCCCCAAGGAGTGGGATCAGAGCTTTGGCTATGTGTTGCTGTAGCCTTGGGATTTGATGCTACTTCATTGCAGTTTTGGAGTGRCACAGAGTCCTTTCCCTTGGTCAGAAGGTCTGTACTGAGCCACGAGAGGTCGTGTCTGTAGTAGGGTCTGTGGTTGAAGAAATGGGGCAGAGCTGCAGGGACTGCAGCTGTTCCTGCCAGCACAGTTGCTGTTTGTGCCAATGCATGGATCTACTTGCACTGAAGCTTTGCCTCTGAAGACTTTATCCTTGTGTTTGGGCTCTGTGGTTACCCATTGCTGAGATTAATGGTCAGCGTGTGCTTGAGATGGGTTTGGTCACAGTTAGAATTCATTTGGCACACACAGTGTCACACTGGGTGCATTTGCATTCCTCAGCGCTCTCTAAACCTCCATCCCAGCATTTCTGCRTGGGGCAGTACCTCCTTTCCTTTGAACCCAGTTTTGAGCCTTTGCATCTTGGAAGGGATGCTGACGTCTGGATTTAGCCATGTTTAACTTGCTATTTCACAGAAAAATTCTTCCTGGATACAACAAAATATAACACAGTCTAGGGGCTTTGTACTCAGTACAAGACAAAATGCAAAGATTAATCCAGGATAATGATTTTTCCTTTGCTATGAAGCCAAGCAACCTGAAGCCAGTGAGAGAGCTCTTCCATTTGGCTTCTTTGAGGTAGACCTTTTTGCTGACTCTGGCTGGAATGTGTGAGTATGTCTGTTTCTGTTTGTGCTGCAGGAGTTGTTCTGCCCAGAGCCTATGGTCAGATGGGCAGTGAGAGCAGGGCTGGCTCTCTCTGGGTAGCAGCAGTGGCTTTTTTCTCTCTCCATGACTTTGTTTCTTCCTTCTGTGAGGGTCAGTGTTTCTGGGTAGAAAATCCCAGACGATGACTGCCTCTGTGTTTTGTTTCAGGCATCAGAGGGCGTTCCTGTGAAGTATTTTCAGAACTTGGAGGAACTGATAGAATATTACAAAAAGGAGTACATGGGTCTGGTATGGCACCTCAAATATCCAGTGCCACGGGAAGAGGAAGAGGCTGCTGATGAGCTGGAGGATGATGCTGGTAAGGAACCCATGATGTGACTTGGCGATGCAGACCCTTGACTCGTACCTCTTGACTGGAGATACGCAGTGCAGGCAAGATATTAAAATATGTTGTGCCATAAAATGGAGTAGAACATAGAGAGGCCTGAGCTGGCAAGGTCCTGAGGCAGTGAACCCTCATTTCTTCCATGTTACTGCACCTGAAGCATCAGCTTAGCTCACCTGAGGGAATATACTGAGACCCTTTGTGGAAGTGTACTGCATCTGGTGTGGGGGTGGTTTATCTGTGGTCCTTATCTGGACTCCAACTGTTCATATCCAGCTGTCTCCCAAACCCTTGGATGGAACCCAGTGTATATCTAACAGGAGCTGGAAGATTTTGGTATGCAGGTCTTGCAAAGAAACAGAACAAAAGTTTTCAAAGCTGCCCAGGAAAGATGTTCCTGGGTTTTGGCCAGTTGCCTTGAATCTCCAGCTTCCAGGGTAGGGGAGGGATCTACAGCAAAAATAATATATRGAGAGGCAAGCAGCAGCGAATGAAGTTCTAGGCGAGACTAGGAGCCTTCATATGAAGAGAGATTAGCACCAGGTCTGGGCTGCTCACACAGAGAATTTAATTTTGTTAAGGCCCTTTGTGCCATCAAGCCTGAGCCATKTAGGGCCTACAGATGTGGAAGATGAGCACCCTGCAGGTGAACCACTCATGGCTCAGTCCTGTGGTGGCTCTGAATCACAGCACCTGCCCAGGAGAAGTGAGTCAGTCCTCAGGACCTTTTTGTAGTGCATATTCCACCGTCAGGAAATAACCTAACAAAATCTCACAACTCAATCAGCTACATGTAACGTGCAACAAAGTGTTGGAGCAATTGGTATGAAAAGAAGGGTTAGGATCAATGGARATGAACCCACTCTTCTYYCARGAGAGGGAGATACACTGAGCAGCAGGATGGCACAGCAGGAAAACACTTTTTCCTTCCAGCTCAGTGCCCACAATACAAGGTAGGATATTCAGCCCCTATGCACTGGGTCTATTTTCTCCATCTCTGTTGCTTGCTTTAGCTGTTCACTTCTTCCCCATGGCAGGGGCAGGGCTGTGCTCTGCCTGCATGTGAGATCCAAGCCTGACAGTTCATCCTGCTGTTCTCATAGCACTACCCTCCCTGCAATCCCAGCTGGGCCAGTGCTGAGCCCTGAGCTTCCCAGCTCCGACACCCCTTCACAGACCCTTCAGAAGGGATGGCATCTGCAGGGGCTGCCCCTGAGGGATGTGCTCTGCCCTGCCTGGGGTGTGGGACAGGAGGTCCAATTTCTGTGCTGGAATGACTGTGCCTTTCCTTTCCTCCTTGCCAGACCCCCTGGTACCCACACCTCCTCTCCTGCCCCCACGCAACATCCTCATGGCACTGCCAAGCGGTGAGACAAAAGAGGTTTCTTCTCTCCCCGAAAATGCCCGGGTGGCAGATGTGAATAAACTGTCCCTTTCTGAGACACTGCTCCAACGACTGCAGCACCAGGACACAAGCAGGTAAGGAAGGGCAAGTGACAGGGCTGCAGAACCYGCCTTCAGCCCASGTCTGTGCTTGCTGTGTCCTATGTMTGGGACAGCTGAGGACCTATTTGTTTCAACAAAATTACTTCTCATTTACACTACCAAATGAAGAACAGARTCAGATCAGCAATTGATTGGTCTTTAAAGTTCAGCTGTTGTTTAGAGAAAATACATTTCTGAATTATTAAAATCACATGTGTACTTTCTCCACTGAGGTATAGTTTTCTAATATAAAGGATGAGTAATATCTGAGAGAACTTTATTTATTAGCCATGTGCCTAAACAGTGGGAATTTCCAAAAAATAAAAAAGCTGTTGGATATTTGGGAGTAGAGGTAAAGCAGGCCTTTGACCTGTTTGTTTCCTTCACAGTGTCTCTGATGAGCATCTTAAACTCATCCAGGACTACCTGCGAGTCCACATCATCAGTGACTTTGAGATCGTGCAGACTGGCTCAATCAATCTTCCTCAACTGAAGAAATTACTTACAGCTCTTTGCAAGGGACTCTTCAGGTAACTGGAAGCTGATTTTCAGAGTATAAKGCTGTAACACTGTAGTCTTAACAAAGGTTCCACGCGCATGCAGAATCCTCATTTCTGTCATGGGAAATTGGCTTGCTCTCAAAAACTGTATATTTAGATCTCTGAACCTGTGATTCTGGTCCAAAGATATGCAATCTATATAGAAGACACAGCTYGGATAGTGAAGTTTCCTTGTAGGTGGTTTCAGTCAGCACAGTATTATATTTTATGCTTTATTTAGAAAGAAACAAAATAAAAAATGCACTAACCAATTAACTGCATAATTTGTTAATGCATAAATGACACCCACAGGATTGTCAAGCACAAGGCATTTTTGGAAAAAAAAAGCATATATTGGTGTATAACTAGATTTTTAAACACCGGTCTTCCTTCATACTAATGCACTGTGAACTTGGAGTGATTCCACTGATGTCARTGAAGTCCAGCTCAAATGAAAAAAGGAACAAGCCTAGACTCTTGACTCTACAAATTTTAGCTTTCCTATTTATAGGCTTTCCATGTCCCAAATAGAAAAAYTCTGATAGGGAACTAGAATCTTGCAGAGCTCCCTCCCTCCTGGAAGGATGTTATTTGCCCCTTGCTGATGGTAAGCAAACAGGATCAGCCTGCAGCCTCAGAGCACTCTGTGGCAGAGAGCACCTATTTGCACCCTTCTCTCCATGGTTTGCCATGCCCTTCTCTCTGGTGTATGTAGAGGTGAGGCTGCTCATGCTCCTGGCCCAATCCTGTTCTCCTAGAAGCCAGCTGTCCACAGACTAGCCCCTGGGAGGACTGAGACAGATTGKGCCAAGAGCTGTCCTTCTGCACCTTCTGCCTGAGTGTTTAGCTTTTCTATGCCCACRGGAGGGGAGACCCAGCTAAGAATAAACCTGAACAGTGGGAACTCAAATTGAATGAAATCATAAGTGAGAGTCTTGTGTTACTAAAATACCTCCAGTGCTGCTGTTGTGATGATGTTTGGCTTGTCCATTTCCAGCTTCTTATTCTACCTCAGCTAATTTGGGTTTCGCAACCCTACTCTTCATAAACATGTGGAGAGAAGAGAGAAAGGAGATGCAACAGGGCCATAATTCTCTTAATTGCCAGGACATCTTTAACATTTCCAGATTTTCTGCAGGATTTTTGGCGACTGGACTTTGCAAAGTGACATCCTAGAGAGAGCTGGGTGAATTTTGCTTCTGGTGGAAGCCTGCTGAGTGTAGGGACAGTGCTCCACCACCAATACAACAAAGGACAAGGACCTGCCCTCTGTCCTTCTGGTAGCTGCACACAGCCATAGCAATATATGTACTCATGCAGTTCTTCCCTCTTCCCCAGCATTTTCCCCCAATACCTGCATTATTTTGGTTTGTTGGAGCTGCCTTCTCAATTTTTTTGTGAAGATTCAGAACTGCAAGCTGTGGCTGCTTTCAGTCCCTGTCAGGAATCACTGAGGAACCTCTCCATCTCTATTCACATTATCTAATGGATCTTTACCRTCCAACCAAACTATTTGTTTACCTTCAGCTGGCTAATAATCAGATGCTTGGATATCCTTCTGTTTTAGTTTTTATCTTGGAGTTCATCTAGGGTTTAAGCTTACTTCCCTTAGGTGTCTTCTGAAYTMAAAATTTGTCAGTGGCATTCCCTAAATTTAGTTTTTATTTCTCYGAGTTTCCTTCAGCTGTGCAAGGARTTCCAGTTGAAAGTACAGGTAATTCCTAGGTTGTTTCTCGGTGTCTTCTTTAAAAATCTAATTCCATTATTTTCACACTATTTGAGAACAGGTTAAAAAGCAAACAAAAACTGAGAAAAAAATGTTAATTGGCACAGCAGAGCTCTTGCAGCAGAGCTGAAGCTCCTTTGAATTTCCTAGCAGCATTGAGGGTTATGAGTGTGCAGCCCAGACTGGTTGTGGCTGGGCTGACTGCACTGACTTGCTGTGAATGTGAGGGTTTTATGATTTGTGCTCTGGCTTCTTCCCACCTCACAAAGCCCAGCTTTGCCATCACTCAGGGTCACACTCAGACACTTTGCTGCCACTGAGAGAAAGGAGCAACCAGTGCCCTTTGGCTGCCTTAGCCCCGGGCTGTGATTCTGGGGTGTGGGTGACTGCCAACCTCAGCAAGGCAGAGGGGAAAGTACTGGAGCTGCTCAGTGGTCAGGAGGAAAAAAGAGCTTATAGTGAGCAGTGGGGCTGGGAGAGCAGCTGGACCAGCCATTATGAACAGTCTGTGCCTTTGGCAGTTTGGGTATTGTCCACTGACAGGAGCAGGATGCACAGCTGCCCAAGGAGCTCAAGCCCAGCTGGGCTACAGCAACCCAGAGTGCAAAGTTTGTGAACTCTTCTCCCTTGCCCTTTGTCCCTGATTAATTCAGAAGGGACCATACTCCAGTGTACYTCAGAGACTGGGAAAACAGGTTTTAACTCTGCTGCTGCTACTACTGCTACTACCTTCTAGGSCTAACAGTGGCCAAGGGGGTCAGGACAGCCATGGCACATCTCCATATCAGWGCCTGGGGAGCAAGGAACAGTCACCCTCGGCAGAGGCCACTCCCTCTGACAGATCCTATACTGGAAATGAAACAAAACCGAGACCTTAAAGGCTGATGGGTATTTTTGTGAGGCATTCTGTGCTAAAGAAATTGCCATACAAGAGTTTTCTTGGCYGAGGGAATCATCTAGCACCTGGAAAGCTGACTCAGAGAGAGTGAGGACTACCAGTGCATGGGGATTTGTTCATCTTCAAGCAAAAAACACCAATAGTGGCCTATTCAACCTGCCACYGTCTGAAGCCATCATTTGGTCATCAATTGCATGTTCTCGTTTATCCTCCCCCAATGGATAATTTGCACATAGAGCTTTTAAGGCAGTCTTTCAAGCACTTGTGATACCAACACTTGTGCAACTTCATGTTGCATATTGCACAGGCTTCTGACACTTCAATGAAGATCGCTGAAGAYATTTATACTGTCAAGACAAGAAAACAGAAGAAGTTACAAGTGTAATTAAAACCACCCTGTGGTTTTGCTGAGCTTGAACGCCCACAGCAGCTCTTCCTCCTCCTCACACATAGCTTACACAGTTGCACTGTAAACAGCRGGCAGTTTTCCCATGAGAAATCACTCCTGAGTTGCCTCAAACAGCTGCTGATGTGTTTTCAAGAGATGGCCTGCACATCACAGTMAATATCCCTTAACTCTTCTCAAACTAAACTTCACCCAATGTTCCTGCAATTGTTTGAAGCCTCCTGGGGTCTGATTCCATTGCCGCAGAAATCAATGCGAGTCTTGGTTTTGGGGTCAGAGCTGTTTGCAGTGACACTGATCCTAGGTGATCTAAAGCTGCACGGTGACATTAGAGGAATAAAATTAGCAGAACCAGATTCCTGAAAGTGCCTTGTACTCCTGTGCGTTCCACAGCAAATCTTGCTTACTGAAATGTCAAAGATGAATGCTTAATTTAAGCAATTACTCATCCATGCACTAGGCAAATATCTAATGTTCAGGCAGGCATGCTTTTGCTTTGGAGCACTTTCCCCAACAAAGAGGGAATAAAGCCCAGTCTATTCACACTTAGGAAAATGAAGGAAGTCATTAATATCCACCATTGACTAGACACAGTGCAAGCATCCTAGTGCTGCTTGCCACCATCACCTTCCTTTTGACCTGTGCTCCCTGGCTGCTCTTTCCATGATAAGTCTTTATCAGCACAGCCAAATTCATGCAGCAGTGTTTTGACATATGAGCATCCTGTGGAATCGCGTTTCCCACAAACAATTCTGTCCAGGAGACCAAAGTCTGCCTCTCCCTCCCCCCGCTGTGCCCAGCCCCTCTTTGTCTTGTGAGATGAAATATCTAAGAATTAGTTTTGTCTTCGCACAGTCCCCATCATTGTCCCCAACAGTCTCAGCAKCTGCATAGGCCCTGTACAGAACCAAGCTGCTCCCGTGGGTGCAGCATTCAGAGCCCCTGCACTGTGCTGTGAGGCATTTGAGTGCACTTGGATCTACGAGCTGGCATAGTTGGGTTGATGCTGCTTGTACATCATATCCTCAGTTTTGGCCCAGGCTGGGATACCTTTCTGGGGACATTTAGGAAGTTAGAACCTCCAAAGCAAAACCTGAGGAACAGCCAGTGTGGCCATGTTCCAGCTTTGCAAGGCAAAGTCAGCCACCTGACTCACACTGCCCTGTTGGCAGTGTCACCAAGCAGCTGGGATTTGCTCCCCTCCCCTTTCCCACAGCTCGGTGGGCACGGGGTGAGGGCAGGACCAGTGTGGATATGTGCCCAGGGCACACATGTCCCCGTCGTCTGCCCTATGTGTGTCTGTCTGAATGCCATCAGACCCAGGGGCCTGGCCACAGCCTTAGGCTCCTGCCGTGTCTTTTTTCCCAGTGAGGCCTCGAGGACTCTCCCATCTCTAGAGTCCATCCAGAAGGTGTTTGAGCAGCAGCTGCACCCCGGTGCCCATCAGCGCTCCCAGGTAAGGGG